ATTCTCTAGTTCGAACTTACCTGGGGTCACCACAACCCAAACTTTTTCCGTTCAACACGGCAAGTACTCTATAAGAGTTGTAATGTGGAAGTTATGGACTTCTGTGGATACAGGCACTAAATAACATGTCAACTTTAGAATAGATCAGATCTTTCTATTCATGTGTACTTGTCACAAGCGTCTAAACGTTGCAAACCTCCAACCAAAAGTCTCCGATGCAAATGAGAAATAGCTTTCATAGTTCATCCGAGAAACGAGATAATATTGAGTGGTGTGACTATGTATGAAGTGTGCTGAGCAGGCAAAATAACGGTGCTTTGTGGTATGTAGGGAGTATTGATTCGGAGGTGAAAATGTCAAAGTGTATCTGTGGCTCATTAGTCGGTGTGCACTACACACAGCGCGAGTAGCTCAGTGGTAGAGCGTCAGATTGCAGCTCTGAGGGTCACTGGTTCGAACCCGGTCTGGCGCTGTCTTTTACCTTTTATACTTTTAAAAAATTCTATTTTTACTCTTGACTCCTAGCTTCATCCTTTCTAGTTGTATCACTTACACGTCGAGTCTCTATCTCCAGCAAAGACATATGGATATATATGAAAAATATGCACATTGATGTATGGTATCTCCTCAAACGGACACGAAGACCATCAATTCGATTTGAAAAACCAAGCTGGCTGGAGTCCTCCTGGTATCGATTTTCGAAAAACTAACCGTCGGGATAGGTGGGTGTATGTAGTATTCCTTTTTGCAAGTGCAAAGCTACAATACAGGTTGTAGTGGGGCGAATATAAACGGAGTGACTCGGGTGAAGGATTGACAAAAGTGTGCATGTTGATTCGAAAGATAAAAAGCTGAGGAGTAAGGGAGTTGAACCCTTGACCGTTGGGACTGGAATCCAACGCTCTACCACTGAGCTAACCCCCCGTTCATACTATTTACACTTCTCTCATTCTACACACCATCTCTCTGCATTTACATCTTCCTTAACCTGCAACCATACATTCACTCACAGAAACCATACAAAGGCTACGTACAGTCATATCAGTACATCTTCTACTCATTGCACATTTATTGCACACTTGCCAAAATTCCTTTTGTAGCCCATCAAACTCAAATGAAAGACAAACGATACCTTTCTGTATGACCTCAAATTCTCTAGTTCGAACTTACCTGGGGTCACCACAACCCAAACTTTTTCCGTTCAACACGGCAAGTACTCTATAAGAGTTGTAATGTGGAAGTTATGGACTTCTGTGGATACAGGCACTAAATAACATGTCAACTTTAGAATAGATCAGATCTTTCTATTCATGTGTACTTGTCACAAGCGTCTAAACGTTGCAAACCTCCAACCAAAAGTCTCCGATGCAAATGAGAAATAGCTTTCATAGTTCATCCGAGAAACGAGATAATATTGAGTGGTGTGACTATGTATGAAGTGTGCTGAGCAGGCAAAATAACGGTGCTTTGTGGTATGTAGGGAGTATTGATTCGGAGGTGAAAATGTCAAAGTGTATCTGTGGCTCATTAGTCGGTGTGCACTACACACAGCGCGAGTAGCTCAGTGGTAGAGCGTCAGATTGCAGCTCTGAGGGTCACTGGTTCGAACCCGGTCTGGCGCTGTCTTTTACCTTTTATACTTTTAAAAAATTCTATTTTTACTCTTGACTCCTAGCTTCATCCTTTCTAGTTGTATCACTTACACGTCGAGTCTCTATCTCCAGCAAAGACATATGGATATATATGAAAAATATGCACATTGATGTATGGTATCTCCTCAAACGGACACGAAGACCATCAATTCGATTTGAAAAACCAAGCTGGCTGGAGTCCTCCTGGTATCGATTTTCGAAAAACTAACCGTCGGGATAGGTGGGTGTATGTAGTATTCCTTTTTGCAAGTGCAAAGCTACAATACAGGTTGTAGTGGGGCGAATATAAACGGAGTGACTCGGGTGAAGGATTGACAAAAGTGTGCATGTTGATTCGAAAGATAAAAAGCTGAGGAGTAAGGGAGTTGAACCCTTGACCGTTGGGACTGGAATCCAACGCTCTACCACTGAGCTAACCCCCCGTTCATACTATTTACACTTCTCTCATTCTACACACCATCTCTCTGCATTTACATCTTCCTTAACCTGCAACCATACATTCACTCACAGAAACCATACAAAGGCTACGTACAGTCATATCAGTACATCTTCTACTCATTGCACATTTATTGCACACTTGCCAAAATTCCTTTTGTAGCCCATCAAACTCAAATGAAAGACAAACGATACCTTTCTGTATGACCTCAAATTCTCTAGTTCGAACTTACCTGGGGTCACCACAACCCAAACTTTTTCCGTTCAACACGGCAAGTACTCTATAAGAGTTGTAATGTGGAAGTTATGGACTTCTGTGGATACAGGCACTAAATAACATGTCAACTTTAGAATAGATCAGATCTTTCTATTCATGTGTACTTGTCACAAGCGTCTAAACGTTGCAAACCTCCAACCAAAAGTCTCCGATGCAAATGAGAAATAGCTTTCATAGTTCATCCGAGAAACGAGATAATATTGAGTGGTGTGACTATGTATGAAGTGTGCTGAGCAGGCAAAATAACGGTGCTTTGTGGTATGTAGGGAGTATTGATTCGGAGGTGAAAATGTCAAAGTGTATCTGTGGCTCATTAGTCGGTGTGCACTACACACAGCGCGAGTAGCTCAGTGGTAGAGCGTCAGATTGCAGCTCTGAGGGTCACTGGTTCGAACCCGGTCTGGCGCTGTCTTTTACCTTTTATACTTTTAAAAAATTCTATTTTTACTCTTGACTCCTAGCTTCATCCTTTCTAGTTGTATCACTTACACGTCGAGTCTCTATCTCCAGCAAAGACATATGGATATATATGAAAAATATGCACATTGATGTATGGTATCTCCTCAAACGGACACGAAGACCATCAATTCGATTTGAAAAACCAAGCTGGCTGGAGTCCTCCTGGTATCGATTTTCGAAAAACTAACCGTCGGGATAGGTGGGTGTATGTAGTATTCCTTTTTGCAAGTGCAAAGCTACAATACAGGTTGTAGTGGGGCGAATATAAACGGAGTGACTCGGGTGAAGGATTGACAAAAGTGTGCATGTTGATTCGAAAGATAAAAAGCTGAGGAGTAAGGGAGTTGAACCCTTGACCGTTGGGACTGGAATCCAACGCTCTACCACTGAGCTAACCCCCCGTTCATACTATTTACACTTCTCTCATTCTACACACCATCTCTCTGCATTTACATCTTCCTTAACCTGCAACCATACATTCACTCACAGAAACCATACAAAGGCTACGTACAGTCATATCAGTACATCTTCTACTCATTGCACATTTATTGCACACTTGCCAAAATTCCTTTTGTAGCCCATCAAACTCAAATGAAAGACAAACGATACCTTTCTGTATGACCTCAAATTCTCTAGTTCGAACTTACCTGGGGTCACCACAACCCAAACTTTTTCCGTTCAACACGGCAAGTACTCTATAAGAGTTGTAATGTGGAAGTTATGGACTTCTGTGGATACAGGCACTAAATAACATGTCAACTTTAGAATAGATCAGATCTTTCTATTCATGTGTACTTGTCACAAGCGTCTAAACGTTGCAAACCTCCAACCAAAAGTCTCCGATGCAAATGAGAAATAGCTTTCATAGTTCATCCGAGAAACGAGATAATATTGAGTGGTGTGACTATGTATGAAGTGTGCTGAGCAGGCAAAATAACGGTGCTTTGTGGTATGTAGGGAGTATTGATTCGGAGGTGAAAATGTCAAAGTGTATCTGTGGCTCATTAGTCGGTGTGCACTACACACAGCGCGAGTAGCTCAGTGGTAGAGCGTCAGATTGCAGCTCTGAGGGTCACTGGTTCGAACCCGGTCTGGCGCTGTCTTTTACCTTTTATACTTTTAAAAAATTCTATTTTTACTCTTGACTCCTAGCTTCATCCTTTCTAGTTGTATCACTTACACGTCGAGTCTCTATCTCCAGCAAAGACATATGGATATATATGAAAAATATGCACATTGATGTATGGTATCTCCTCAAACGGACACGAAGACCATCAATTCGATTTGAAAAACCAAGCTGGCTGGAGTCCTCCTGGTATCGATTTTCGAAAAACTAACCGTCGGGATAGGTGGGTGTATGTAGTATTCCTTTTTGCAAGTGCAAAGCTACAATACAGGTTGTAGTGGGGCGAATATAAACGGAGTGACTCGGGTGAAGGATTGACAAAAGTGTGCATGTTGATTCGAAAGATAAAAAGCTGAGGAGTAAGGGAGTTGAACCCTTGACCGTTGGGACTGGAATCCAACGCTCTACCACTGAGCTAACCCCCCGTTCATACTATTTACACTTCTCTCATTCTACACACCATCTCTCTGCATTTACATCTTCCTTAACCTGCAACCATACATTCACTCACAGAAACCATACAAAGGCTACGTACAGTCATATCAGTACATCTTCTACTCATTGCACATTTATTGCACACTTGCCAAAATTCCTTTTGTAGCCCATCAAACTCAAATGAAAGACAAACGATACCTTTCTGTATGACCTCAAATTCTCTAGTTCGAACTTACCTGGGGTCACCACAACCCAAACTTTTTCCGTTCAACACGGCAAGTACTCTATAAGAGTTGTAATGTGGAAGTTATGGACTTCTGTGGATACAGGCACTAAATAACATGTCAACTTTAGAATAGATCAGATCTTTCTATTCATGTGTACTTGTCACAAGCGTCTAAACGTTGCAAACCTCCAACCAAAAGTCTCCGATGCAAATGAGAAATAGCTTTCATAGTTCATCCGAGAAACGAGATAATATTGAGTGGTGTGACTATGTATGAAGTGTGCTGAGCAGGCAAAATAACGGTGCTTTGTGGTATGTAGGGAGTATTGATTCGGAGGTGAAAATGTCAAAGTGTATCTGTGGCTCATTAGTCGGTGTGCACTACACACAGCGCGAGTAGCTCAGTGGTAGAGCGTCAGATTGCAGCTCTGAGGGTCACTGGTTCGAACCCGGTCTGGCGCTGTCTTTTACCTTTTATACTTTTAAAAAATTCTATTTTTACTCTTGACTCCTAGCTTCATCCTTTCTAGTTGTATCACTTACACGTCGAGTCTCTATCTCCAGCAAAGACATATGGATATATATGAAAAATATGCACATTGATGTATGGTATCTCCTCAAACGGACACGAAGACCATCAATTCGATTTGAAAAACCAAGCTGGCTGGAGTCCTCCTGGTATCGATTTTCGAAAAACTAACCGTCGGGATAGGTGGGTGTATGTAGTATTCCTTTTTGCAAGTGCAAAGCTACAATACAGGTTGTAGTGGGGCGAATATAAACGGAGTGACTCGGGTGAAGGATTGACAAAAGTGTGCATGTTGATTCGAAAGATAAAAAGCTGAGGAGTAAGGGAGTTGAACCCTTGACCGTTGGGACTGGAATCCAACGCTCTACCACTGAGCTAACCCCCCGTTCATACTATTTACACTTCTCTCATTCTACACACCATCTCTCTGCATTTACATCTTCCTTAACCTGCAACCATACATTCACTCACAGAAACCATACAAAGGCTACGTACAGTCATATCAGTACATCTTCTACTCATTGCACATTTATTGCACACTTGCCAAAATTCCTTTTGTAGCCCATCAAACTCAAATGAAAGACAAACGATACCTTTCTGTATGACCTCAAATTCTCTAGTTCGAACTTACCTGGGGTCACCACAACCCAAACTTTTTCCGTTCAACACGGCAAGTACTCTATAAGAGTTGTAATGTGGAAGTTATGGACTTCTGTGGATACAGGCACTAAATAACATGTCAACTTTAGAATAGATCAGATCTTTCTATTCATGTGTACTTGTCACAAGCGTCTAAACGTTGCAAACCTCCAACCAAAAGTCTCCGTAGTGCAGTATGAAGAGTAGACGTTTAAAGCTCATTAGAAGTCCACCATAGCTCTAGGATTGATCTGTTTGAGTCTCACGTACATTCGAGATCACACGATATCATACGGTGGATCACACCAGTTTCTACTGGTTAAAATTAAGAAAATTCCCAAAGTCTCGAGTCCCTCTTGAGATGGAAAGAAGTTAATTGAATATCGTTCTGTAGGATTTCTAATAAGCTACATCACGTAGAGAGTACATGATGCACAAATGAGGATCGTTTTTGTCAAGAATTTACGACTCTGACGTCGTGTGGTCACTATTTTTTGGAAATCGCAATGATTTATCTTTGCCGATTTTCTGCTCTAACGTCTTTCACAAACATCAGTGCTGTGTTAGATTACTAGGTCAGGATTATCAACGCGAGAACGCAACTATAATTCCGTGCGCATATGACAAGTATTTCCTTTAAAGAAGCGCAAGCAAAGCTGACCACAAACCTTGTGCCTAATGTAGCTCTCTCTAAACTAAAGAACAACCCCTTATCTCAACACGGAAAGCAACATGCTGTCTGAACTAACTGATAAATGCAATCGTAGTGTTCAAATATCAGGAACTCTATGTTTGAGACGCCCGTATTTCTGCGGTAGAAGGGGAAAACGATAACAAGCAGCGCCGCGCGAAGCGTGGTGCTCCTGAGCTGAGAAAACTAGGCATACGTCATAGGCGCATTAGACTAATGCACTACCGTTGTTAAGCATCTCACTGACGTGGCATGGACTTAGAACAGCCTTTATGATATTTGTATGTGGTGTGACAAGTGTGATTTCCATACAAAATGACTCGCAGGAGAAATCACACCGTGGATCACACTTGAGTGTGATAAATACCCCCATCAAATACCTCAATGATGCAGACTTTTTAGCTAGTTTCGACCAATGAAATACAATTTTCCACGACAAATTTATGTTTGATTGGTCAGATTTCAAAAAATACAACCTTGGTGTGATTTTGTCGATAACATATGTGTATAGATAAAAGGGGTTATACGACAACCCCATCCGACAACAATGTGATTGGTAGATATGTTCAATTTTGACTTGTGACGACAGACCACAAAGAAACTGGACATTGCCAAGGAATTGCAGACCCAGGGAGCCTCGGTTGAGGCGACAATGAGTGTAAACCTTGGTCTGAGTGTCTGAATCATCGCATCTACTTCGAATATTATGTTGAGCACTACTACACAATGCTCGATGGCTCAGGCGTGCGGACATTTTGAAGGACTTTCATGCTCAGGATGACTCCGTGGATGCGACAAGCAATGAAACTGCATGATCAACGTGCCTCCGTCGATGCGACAAACAGTGTAAGCCATGGCTTGTATATCTGAACCATCTCATTCTATTGGAATAGTGGGTTTGACACTCTGAACAATGCTTCGTTGCTCGAACGTATGCACATGTTGAAGGAATTGCTTGCTCTGGGTGCCTTAGTTGGGACGACAGAGAAATTACACGGCCAGAGTGCCTTAATCGATGCAAAAGACAATGTAAACCATAGCTTGAATTCTGAGTCATCTCATTCTACTGGAATAGTCTGCTCAACTCTACTACAGAATGCTGGATGGCTTGGTTGTATGAACATTTTGAAGGCATTGCATGCTCAGAGTGCCTCCATTGATGTGATGAACAAACGGATTGCGTGCTCAGGGTGCTTTCGTTGATGCGACAAACAATGTATGCAGTGGCTTGTGCGTATGAATCATCTCATTTTATTCAAATAGACTGATCGACTCTCGTGCATCGTGGCTTGGACGAATGGACAATTTCAAGGCATATCTTGCACTGAGAGACTCAGTTGATCCGACAAAGTAAAACATAGTCCAATGCATGTAAATGATTTATTCAATCTTAGAGTCTACCTTCGCGCTTTCTCTTGCGAACTTCTTTCAACAATGTCGAGTAGTTGTGCTTGTGGCCAACGTACGCAGTCTCAAACTGATCGAAGTCTTGGTACTTGGTGAAGGCTAGCGCTAAGGTGTGCCTTTCCGAGTACTTCTTGCGATCTGTTTTTATCATGTCTTTGGTATAGTCTTTCAATGCTCGATGGAGGCCAATTTTTGGATTTGGTGTAAACCATTGATCCCAAGCCGTCTTTCCTGAATTTGCTGTAGGAACACCCTTCGACAGAAACTGCTCTTGCATAGTACTTTGGCGCAGCTTGGAAGGTGCCAAGTCGTCCCGACGATTTCTTTGATTACTGCTGATCGAATAGCGAGCAAGCTCCAATTCCTCGTGCAATATTGCTTTGATTCTATCAACCAATGCATCAATGTTGTTCAAAGAGCACATTCCATTTGATTCACAAGATGCCGCTGCTCGGATTCGTAGTAGGTTCCTTGGGTCAATCTCATCACTGATGCTTTTTGTCACAAGATAGTCGCAGCATGTTTTTTCGTCAGACTATCGACACCAAGCCATCAACTCTCTAAAGTTGAAACGTCTCTCGGTTGACTCGAACACACGAAAAAAACAGCCACCACGCCGCATGCTGTGGAGCGAAATACCAATTGGCAATGTTGGCGCACGGTCAACAATAGTGTACAGCATTCGACGCAAAAAGCCTTGCTCAAGAGGCTTATACCAGTCCAACTTCAATCCATGTTGCTGGACTTCATAACTTGGAAATAAGAATGCTTCTTTCGAAACATTTATACTTGTTGCGGTGACGTTGGTCAAGTACGCTTGATACATCGAACATACTCCCAAGCATGGAAAGGATATTTCGTCAACCAAATGGTAGATTTGAGATTCCTTCTCCACACTAGCTTTCTTGTGCCACCGAAGATGAACTGACAAGTATTTTCCACCATCGTCTGCTCCGAATGCAATATCGTTCCAACGTAACGCCAAGACCTCGCCAATCTTGAAACATCCGAGGAAGCAACAGCAAAACAAGAGCTGGAGCATACTGCAAACGAACGGCCGTTCCTCGCCAAAGCAATTCATGAGTGTCGACAATTTGTTCACTGTGAGCGGATGTGCTTTTCTCTCCTCATCAACATTGTTTTGTCGATCGAACTTTTGTAACCCAATGACATACTTTTTGGCTTCGGCGTCCTGCGCAGGGTTTGGGTGGATATTGTTGTCTTTGAAAAAGGACACCAGCGATGTTTTTGCGGCGTCTACTGTCCGAGCTTTCTTGCCGCTAGTATACAGCTCGTGAAAGAAATCGGTGCAAACGTCCGTCGTAGCCGACAGTGCACACATTCCATTTTGTTTCTCATTGCAGAACTGCACAAATTGCTTTTGATATGTAGCATACGTTCTTCTCGTGGACGCGCCATGGAATGAGTCTCGAATAACTGCCTTTGTTGGTGGCGCTGTCATGGTAAAGCAGAAATGGCCAGAAAATGACCAGAACACAACAGCCAATCAAATATCGTACATGTTAAATGTTAACGATATGTGTTTCAAACGACGAGACCATCGCCCAAAAACATCGTCCACAGAGTGAGTTGCCCAATAAAATCACACTTTTTTGTCGGTCAACGAATCAAAAATTATGACAATGTCGGATATTTGTCGTACGAATATTTTATGTGGGCATATCATTCTTTCTACATCCCTGTAAAATAATACTAGTATTCTTGATCTAAAAGTCAAGCAATAATTATTTGGGCTGACAAAGCATCGTGAGCATTTGAGTATTTCATGGAAACATTTCTGATACTGGTATTGAAGAAGAGATAATTACTATGTATAGTATTATGCTGAACCAAATGAACTGTTTTTGGAAGAGGTAATCGCTTTAGACAATATGAGGACTGCAAAACACTACGTGTATGTGGTTGCATTATGTGCCAAATCCTACGTAGTATAGGAGTATGCTATGTAACACTGGTTTGGCGACATGAGATAAGATTTTTGTCAGCAGGATCTCCATCATGTATGATGATCATCAATTAACCATTGAATCTATTGATGCCACTCAACTGGTCACGAATGCACAAACGCCTTGGCCTAATGAAACAGTAAAAAAAGGTTATTATTATGAATAACTTGTCAGAAAAGGAAGGCACAAAGTTGTCTATTAATAGTGGAGTTGTGTTTGCTAGCATGTT